TTTTGGGGGTTTTTTTTTTACTGATTAACCCTAAATTCAATGAATCACCCCCAACGAATCAGTTTTAGGTATAAATAATGATCTAACGATTATTCCTTGCTGACTGGACTTTTCCTTAAATATAAGATAATTAGATATAATTCACTCAAAATAAGAGGCTGCAAGTTTTTTCTTCTTATTTTAACTGTAAATTAAACAGGACTGTTACGCTAATGGACCTGTTAGACTAGCCGGTCTGAAGAAGGACGAAGAGGAGGATGAGGAAGATGACAGTGAGTGCGCCTGCTTCTTCGGCGTTCCGTAAGACGGCGGGATCCCATAAAGCAGAGTCTCTTTGATGGCGGCGCATGAGGGATGATCCTGAGGAAGCTCATTCAGACGTTTCTGCAGGGAGAGACGCAGGAGGTCCACCTTCTGGGACGACTCCTCCACCCGGGCCTGGGCCTGAGGGGACAGATCACAACCCTTAGGAGAGCAGATTGGGTCAGGGGATCCTGGATAATGCCATGGAAGCATGGGTGGTTCTAGACAGGGGGCAATAGGGGCCAGAGCCCCTGCAGAACTGTTCCTGGCCCCTGTACTGAAGGTATAATAAATCAGTTTCTTTCACTGGGATACATGATAGGGGATGAAGTTTTAGCTTGTGTCATACTTTACAGTACATCAATAACAATGTAATAACATGGTACTAACAAAGCAAGTTACACTATATTTATAGGTAACAAGAAAAACTTTATGAAGAATTTTGATAATTGCTGTGCTTCAAATTTTAGGCAGAAAAGGTAAAGTCAGAATTCTTAGATTTCAAACTGTTACCAGATAACTCATTCATTTCGCAGACAGACATAAATTAATGTGTTATCTGGTAAAATGCATGTTTGTTACTTGATATATAACAAAAAACAATCGTCTTAACTCTTATTTATATGTAACTCTAGTTCAGTTTTATAATGCTTTATCTACGTGATCAAAAGTTCCAATTTAATTTATAAGCCATTAGTGGCCAATAATGGAAACTATTACGCGGTGACCTAATGGTAATTATCCACCAAATTCTCCATTGTTACATAGTCGCATACAATTGTAATAATTGCATTCAGGTTATTATTGTGAAATCATATAATGGAAGAAAAACAGTCTCATTGGAATCTGCCTTTTTTTTTAACACCGAATTTTAAACACTGAAATTTTTTAGACATTGAATTCCTTACACTCAATTTTTATCTGGTAAAAATTCCCCAGAAAAAAAATTTAGCTGCAAAAATTCAGACGCAAATGTGTTGACCTTTTGGTGAACTCAAGCCAAAGCTATCTACACTCGATAGAGTCGAGCAGCTTCTAGCCAATGAAATTAGCTCATTTGTTCATGTGACACAACATCTGGGCTCAGCGCTGTTCCTGGCTGAATGAGGATTTTTTTTTTTTGTTAAACAGATAGAATTACAAAACATCAGTTAGCTACTAGACAGCTATTAGAGGAGGGGTCACCAACGCGGTGCCCGCGGGCACCAAGGGGCCCTCAAGGACCACATGGGGGGCCCTCTTCTTCTTCTGAAAACAGAACAACTCACTCAGTGGGTTAAGTTGAATTTTTTTTTTTTATTCTGTTGCTCTTCTTTTAAATCATTTATGTATGTCATCATGTTAACTATTTCATCATATTTCTGTGGTTTCAAAATGACAATATCAAAATGAAAATAAGAAATGAATAAAAGAATAAAAATGACTTTTTATGGATGAGATTTACTGTAGGTGAACACCAGAGATGGGAAGTAACGAAGTACAAATACTCCGTTACTGTACTCAACTAGATTTTTCTGATATTT